TTCCATAGTCACATGTATACATATACGTACCTATACGGTAACACTGAAGATTCCACTACACTGCCTCACTTACATGTATACGTACCTATACGGTAACACTGAAGATTCAACAATGCCTCCGTCACATGTATACGTACCTATGCGATAACACTGAAGATTCTTCACTGCCTCATTTACATGTATACATACCAATACGATAAGACTGAAGATTCCATACTGCCTCACTTACATGTTAACGTACTAATATGGTAACACTGAAGATTCCGCCATACTGCCTAAACTACATGTACACGCACCTATACGGTAGCAATAAAGATTGTGAAATATACTTAATGTTTAGCAGTTATAAAAATTCAACTACATACATGGTGTCGACCCCGGTTTTTACTTTTTCGGAGCACAATTAAAGATCTTCCATCAACACCAAATGTTCCAAAAAGTTTTCCCTGTTTGTCCTCAGAATTTCCATTTTTGATTCCCTTCTTAACAAGCTTGTGAGACGAGAATAAATTACACAAAAATTACGACAAAAGGAACTATTATTTTTCCTATTGTTAATTTTCCTTTTTTGGACGGTGGTGTTCCTTTGGCACCGTCTTACGATGTTTATATATCCCAAACTCGTTCGCTATGCCCGTGTCGTTTTGTGACGTTTTAAATTCAATGAGCGTAATCTATGTATTACTGGTAAATTATTAAGTCAGGGATTTCGTCACCACAAATTACTTAAAACCTTTACTAAATTCTTCCAAAGATTTGGTTTGGAAGTTGGGCCATTCTTGTAGAAAACTGATTTCAAACGGAATAGCACATCCTAATTTTTACGGTGATATTGTTTACAGAGTCCGGAAATTTCGATACAATCCGGGTAAACTTATCCATCCATATTGAAAGGTTATTAATTCAACACTGTAATTAAATCTTCGAATATTGTTTTTATTGGTATAAGTATTGATTTTGTTATGATCAGTAAATTAAATCCATACTAAATATTATTGTTGTACACATATGCACATTCACGGTACTACAATCTGTAGATACCTATATTTTGGCATTGCACAAGGTCATGTTTTTTTCTGACTGTTAATGGCGTCTTCACACTAAATCTATTGAATGTTGGATGTGTACTGCTTGATATTTTAGTCTTAGATACATGATGTTTTATTAGTTGTTATTGGCTTTGAACTAGCTGTCAGTAACTTTGATTACTCTCAGATCTGTACTTTGTGTCTATTTTGTTGTGAGGGACGTAAAAATACCCTGCCACGTCCAGTTTGTTTTAATGTTGGATGTTTTTTATGCTTTGTATCGATCTGATGAGTTACACCCTTTCACCTTGTACTGTTACACTACTGTCCAAGGTTTGGGGGAGGGTTTGCACCTTCAAACATGTTTAACCCCACCACATTTTTATGTGCCTGTTATAGCTCACATCCACTTCAGTTTTACTTTGATGGCTAGTTGTATCATTGGAAATCATTTTATAGTGTGCACGGTTGTATCATCATTTTTTGTGTACATCTATATGCTTTAAATATATAGCCTTAGTGAATATAAGTTTTTCAAAGGTCAATTTATCACATATGCAAAACCCGATGTATTCGTAATAAATATGTGATAAAACCACATATTTATCTCATCAAATGACAGTTATTGTATAATATTATTGCAGTTATTGGTAGCTATATTTATTGTAAAATTTTGAATTATTTTTTATAAATAACAAAATACTGTTGGATGTTAAGTCATTTATAGTTTGTTTATTTACATTTATTATGCTTTTTATTGTTCGGTCAATAACAGATTAAAATGTTCTTCCTTGACGACTTTAAATACACTTGAAGATAATCATCAAATCCATTTAAATATAGACTGAAAAGACGGTCACCGATATCCAATACAGGTTTCTTTTGTTTATTTATCCCAATACAACGAACAGTTTAAACTATTCAAACTATATAAGTACTACTATTTATGTTCATACTCAGTTCTTAGAAACGGGGAAATGTAAGCACTTTTGAATTCTACCCCAATTATTTCACACTAGGACAAAGTTGTCTAATCTTTACTTAAAATTCGGCCCCTCGACAGCTTTATGAGTGTTTTTTTTTTATTGTGGCGTATGTATAAACATGTAACTAAACTATAGATGCTTAAGACGGCTCAAAACTTCAAGTTTGCCAAGTTTAGAATAATCATCGAAAAAATAAATGAGAAGCGAAATCTTCACCATGGTCATTAAAAATAAAAATTCCGTGTGAAGACAATCTCACCACGACATAGCCTTTTGCGATGAGGTGGCGTAACGCAAACATCAATTAATCAATATTTTGTAAGAAAATCCTTCTTTTTGTGTCAAATAATATTAGTTCATGTTAGTTAAGGATGCCCTCCGTTTCCAATATTTACAAAACAATGTATTACACTGGATAACATTTTATGATATGGATATGTGTAACTTTGTAGTTAAATCTTTAATATGAACACGGTGAATTATTTAAATTCATCGATATTCCAAATCCAGTATGATTTAAACAATTTCGGGTTTTGATCTGTGACTGAAAACCAAATTTAGGGAAAATGACCCCTACCTCTTTTCGAGTTGTTGAATAGGAGCATATATATTTGACCGATCACCGAAAAAGAGAATTATTATGATATCGACATGCAGAAAAATACAATGAACCACACATAGATCATGGGCATCTTAAAAGGGTACTAATGTATGTGGAACACGACTGATGTTAAAACGTACTTGAAGTCATATGAAACGAGTTTCTTGTTATTATAATGTTGTGGAAATTATTGAACAAATGCATGCATATATACTTAACCAAGTCTTCTTTGCACGTTATTATGTTATCGACAATTGATATTTCTTTTAGTGATTATTGATCGCAAACTAATTAACTTTCGAGTCCACGTACACTTGCTTTATAGTAAAAATTAGCCATTCAAGTATAGAAAACATATTCAAGGTCAACATTTCTTTTTTAATTTGTAGTATCACATGACTTGAAGGGAAACACAATAACCGTTTTGAACTTGTAAGGAACAAAGCCGCTTATATAAAAGTGCAATATCGTATTTAAAAAAAAAACAAGAACAAAGACGATATGAACTAAAATCAAACTCGAACTTTTAAATATAGAAATGGATCATCGGCTTTTGTATTTTAATACATATCGTATTTCATGCATACACGTGTCGTTTTATATTTATAAAAATATACAATTGATCTGAGTGTATAGCTTCTCTTTTTGAAACACTGAATTGGCATTCAGAAATTAAAGAAATTTAAGAAAAAAATAGTTGTTCAGTTATACATGTATATATATGCTCATTGTTTCCTTTGCGTAAAATTGAGAATGGAAATGAGGAATGTGTCAAAGAGACAACAACCCGACCAGAGAACAGACAACATATATTCTAATGGTTAAATCAGATATTTAGATGAATGTTTCACTATGCAACTCATTGCACGCGTGGACTTTGATTAATTTACCACAAGTGGTCACACAACTATCCAAGGATAGGGGAGGGTAGGAGCGCCGCAAACATGATTAACCCCGCCACATTCTGTATGTGTCTGTCCCAAGTCAGGAGCCTGTAATTCAGTGGTTGTAGTTTGTTGCTGTATATCATATTTATTTTTCGTTTATAGCTTTGTAAACAAATCAGACTGTTAGTTTTCTCGTTTGAATTGTTTTACATTTGTCATTTTGGGGCCTAATATAGCTTACTTATGTATGCAGAATGAGTTTTGCTCATTTTTTTAAGGTCGTAGGTTACCCATAGTTGTCAACTTCTATGTCATTTGGTCTCTAGTAGAGAGTTGTCTCATTGGCAATAATGCCACATGTTCTTATTCTAATATAGGTCGAAAGCAAAGTCAAATATATTACTGATTCAGTAGCACCTTTTTTGGTTGAATGAATGAAACTTGAAGGTATACCTCTATGAGACAGCGGGGCCTCGGTGGCCGAGTGGTCTAAGTAGTCGAACTACTGTATCACTAGCCAGTCAACACTGAGGTTGTGAGTTCGAATCTCGCACGGGGCAGGTGCACTCGACTCCAATCTTAATTGACTAGGATTGTTAGTTTTCCTACCGAAGGTCGGTGGTTCTCTCCGGGAACTCCGGATTCCTCCACCAGTAATAACTGACCGCCACGAAATAGCACAAGAGTGTTGAAAGTGGCGTTAAACACCAATCAATCAATCTACGAGACAGCAATTAAACGACACAAAATCTCAAAGAGTTCGTATTCGTTGTATAAGCTGTAGTATCATCTATTTATTCGTTTTAAGTATAAGATCAATTGTATGTGTGATGTGTTTTTGTTTTGTTGCCTTTGAATTGAGGGGTTTTGCTATTGGAGTCTGTATTTGATATCTAAATGTCCGTTCATTACTGCTGGTTATGAAACTTTCAGTCATTTTGGTGTACCTTCCTTGTATCTTTTTCTCTAGAATGTACATTTCCATCGTATCTATTGTTTCATGCACGTAACTATCATAATAATGTTTTTATGTACATCGTCCATATCTTGACCTGTTTATTTTTTTTATTAAGATACAGAAAACAACCTCCATGTCTCTCTTTTTCATACACATAACACACATATATATATATCTTCTTTTTATATTTTGTTATAAATATCTCGTAGATATATAGATAGTTTTGATCTTCGATCTTTTCATAGTGCATTCTAGATATTTGCTTTATACCTATGTCATGCTTTGTTCATTGTTTTTAAATAAAAGTTGCACGATTTATCCCCGTGAAATACTATTATTCATTCTGAGATCATGCGAATCCCACCAATTTCACTACTATCTTACCTGTGACGTCTGAAGTAACATTTATGTTCATATGGCAAGAAGCGACAGAAGAAAAACATGTAGTCTTTATTTGTGCGAAGGCATATGATATAATTAATTTTGAATCAAACGAGCATTATTTATTTCGAAGTACATGACACCTTCTTTATATTGTAGAAACAGATCACAATGAATTACCTCCCCCTGGGTCAAGAACTATTGCATCATCAAACATCACTTTCAAATTTACCACAGAATTACTCGATGGAAACAGACTTCTCACTAGATACGACCTATCATCCAGTCAAAACCGAGGATATAACTCTTGATGTGAATTCTAGGAAAAACAGTGCAAATTCAAGAGGTCAGATGACTTCCTTTCTTCCACCTTGCAGAATATGTGGTGACAAAGCATCAGGGTTTCATTATGGCGCCAATACTTGTGAAGCTTGTAAGGTATGATTGTGATCAGATTTTATTCATATAATGGCTGTATAATCACCAGAACGTTGGGACAACATATATATTAATACTTACCCTCTATATATAAAGTGCATAATTAATTTCCAGTAGAATAGTTTGATTATATTTGTTTTGATTCATTCGCTTTGCATAGTCTCAATTATGACACTAATAAATATTTTTTTGTTTACAATTTCAGGGATTTTTTCGTCGTAGTATTGTACGAGAACAGAAAGACGAAGATTTTGAATATCGATGTATCAATGATAAAAAGTGTGTTCTAACTGCTGGGAAATTAAGACTTTGTGCATATTGTCGGTATCAAAAATGTTTGACGATTGGCATGTCTAAACGTGGTATGTCTTTGTTTAACATCTTATTTGTCAATTATAGAAGAAATACGAGCAAGTAAATTAAAATACAAGTAGAATACAAAATACAAGAAGAAATATCAGCATGCAGATAGATCCCTTTGCATACAAAAAGTAGAGAGAAAAAAAACCCAGAAAACACGTACATATATTTAGAAAATCCCTTAGAAAGTACTGAACAGAAATAAAAAAAGTGAAAAAACAGATCTAGCCAAACGAGACAGTATGAACAAAGACCAGGTCATACCAGAAACAATGTAGTATGAATAAATATCAGAGGAGGTACATCCAATAGAAAAGTTGAATTAACACTATAATGTGTCTAAATGGATAATAAACGTATGTGTAAGGATTATGTGCAATTGACATTTGAAAACATTTCAGTATGAAATAAATTAGCCAGAAATTCAACAGAGGGTACGCAGTGTTATACTGTTTATAGTTATACAACAAGGCAGCTATACACATGATAGACGAACTCATAATGTTTTATTCTATTTATAGCTATAAAACAAGGCAGATATACTCATGCTAGACGAACTCAGTATATCAATGAAGTGAAACATCATGATATTAAAACAGAACCAGATCTCAGAGAAACAATTCCTATTGACAATAATGAAGCATTGAACTTTATCGATAGTCTCATAGCTGTGCAGGACAAGCATTCACACAAATGTGTAAGTACATACTACATACATCATTGATATGCTATCGCTCGGGATAAAATAATCAAATTAGATGGCTAAATGAAAACAAATCATCTACGGCTGCCTTGAATTATTTCTTAATTAATATTGTTTAAAATCTTATTAAAAGCAAACAAAATTTTGTTAACAGATAAACTAAGGTAAGATATGATAAAATATGAAGTTTATATCCCCTATAACAAATTAAAATTAGCGAGTTCATAATAAAAAAAATTAAAAAAAATAGAAATAAGTTGGGTTTATCCTACATACTCTTGATGGAGTAAAATAGTACGCTTTAAAATTATTAAAAGTGGTTTCTGACGTTAAATGTGAAATTTTTTTGTCGAATAAAGTAAAGGTTCACATTATTTAATTGTTGCTTTAATCATAAAATAATTTGGCATCAATAATAAGTTTTAAATGAGATTAAAAATAGTTAATAGATTTACTGAATTTTAGGTTCTTTTTTGTTTTTGTTTGTACAGATATACTCGCTGTTCGGTTATGTGCCCTTTACTAAATTGAAACACTGTATTCTGTCCTTCTGTTGACATGAATTATGTTCACTATTATAAAGTCCTTTACATATATGTGTATTTATGCTTATACATTGATTTTTTTCCAGAGTTTTCAATCTGTCCATATGTAGCTGGAAAATCAGTTTTCTGATTTTGTTCTCAATACTGTCCACTAATTTGCTAGAGTTGTTGAAAACTTCTTTAAATTTTGAACAGTCTATTATTAGCCGTGAAATTGCTGTCTTGTCTTTAAAAACGTTATTCCATTTTTCACCAGTAATCTCATTGGTAATGACTTCTCTTATTTCTGTGAATACTTTTCTCTTGTTGTACTTAATATTGGACAGGAAATCTATTACGTCCGCATTATCACTGCAACAAAGTGAGCATGTTACTTCTGCTGTATAATGGGTGAATTTGTGTTAACATGCTCATCTTTTAAAATAAATATGTTCAACCTTATGTGATGTTCAAGTAACTTTATTTCTGTTTAGATGTGTGTTTTGAAATTTTACACCAACCCTCAGATTCGAGACGAATACAGCTTCTCTTCGTACCAAAGGAAAATAACACTTAAAAGTCGCATTATAAGCTCTGATAATTTTAATCTCTCCAAATTAAGCCATCATCAGCTTAAATACTTGCACATTGTCGTGACCTAGTTGTCAGGCCATTCATAGTTCATTGTATGTCTTATAAATTAAAACAACAGTAGTTACCGATGTTCAAATCTCGTTAATTGAATAGGAAGAAACATATCTAGATAGTAAACAAAAACTGAGAGGATCGCAAGAGCTCCAAAAGGAGAGAGACTGGTGCATCGGCAGGATAATCGACTCCTGCATGCATTTGGTTAGCACCCAATTACTGTTATGTGTGTACCTGTTGCAAATCATAAAGAGAAAATAAGCCATAGAGCTCATAGTCTACAACTTTTTATCGATGCAGTGATGATACACAAGTAAAAAAAATGAGAACATTAAATAATTTCATTCGTCCGAAGCGCTTTTCTGGATTTACCTTCATCATGAACGCTCAAAGCCGAATATTTGAAACCAGAGGGATGTATAAGGACCGAAACAGTTGAAGAGCTATATGAAATAGGCAAATTCATCTAAGGTCAACTTTGCCTGAGAGAGTTGAAACCTTAGTTTCTATGTAATTTCAAAATATATGAACGGACAATTTTTGAAAAGTTATAAATCATGTCAATACCGAAGTACTGACTACTGAGCTGATGATACCTTCGGGGACTGATAGTCCGCCAGCAGAGGTATCGACCCAGTGCTGTAAAAAAATGAGAAAAACACGTTAAATAATCTAATGCGTTCGAAGCGCTTTTCTGGATTTACCTTACGTTTGTGAAACGTGTGTTGAAGAAATGTACAGTCTTTTACAAACAATAACATATTAATGTTTAGTATGTCTTTTTAGTATGACCGATTGGATGTGAATCATAACAACGAAGTTTCAAGTCCTGCTTTATACAAAGACAGGGTTGGTTACAGTATTGTGGATACGTTTGAATCTTCTGTAACTTTGATGGTAGAATTCATGAGGTGTATTTCAGGATTTCCCCAGCTTCAAATAAATGACCAATCAGAGCTTTTGAAAGGTATGTCACATCCTATCATAACCAATCAAAACTCTTTTAAAGCTCTATCATGTAGCATTTTTATATTGCTTTTTCACAAAATAATTTCGAAAGTTAAAACGTTCTTGGAGGATAGCTGCATAACCAATTATTCAGTTGCACCTCAAAGTTTGACATCTGTTTGCATGACACATATCTTGAATATGTTTGTAAACGTTGACCTGGTGGCATCATGCCTGTTATTATTTTAGGAAATGTACTCGCTATGTATTTATACTTCAATATATGTTCTTCTTTTCTACAGGCAGTCATTCGGACTTTTTCCTTTTAGGAGAAATATATAATCCAATGTTTAATCGAGAGCACAAAGGAATACACAACATCTCTAAATGGCCTGTTCAACATTTATATTCAAAGTCGAAACTTCAAGATGTTTATAAATTCATTTCAAAATCTCAAGAACTTTCAATTTCAAAGGAAGAATCAACGTTACTACGTGCTATTGCAGTGCTATCAACAGGTATAGTAATAATTATATTGCTAATTATTGAAAGAACTACGGAAATATACCAGATATATAACGGTGTGATTACTGGTTGTAATGTATAACACTATAATACGATATACTATGTTGAATGTAAATCCAAACTTGTACATGCTATTCTAGTTTGAAACACAAGAGCACATTGTAAAATCTATAACGCAATTCAGCATGTCCAATAAGGATGGTATCTTCTTTCATACAGTATATTTTTGAAAAATTGAAACCAATCAAAATATTTGTTGTTTTTGTAATAAAAATGGCTCCCAAAAAGATATATTCTTATGATTTTTTTAATGAAATGAAAAGTTCCAAAAGATCAATTAGTTATAAATCTTTACATAAACCTTGCTGACTTAAATAAAAATGCCAACCGACAATATAGGGTCACTTATAATTGAAATTGCAGATACAACCTGAATATTGTACGTGATATATTGTTTAAAATTATCTTTTTTTGTTGAATAGACCGAGTAGATTTGTGTGATCCAGAAGAGGTAGAAAAAATGCAGTGGTTTTGTGTAAACTGTCTGCGGATGTTGACAACCAGATATTATATCAATCCTAATCAAAGACTGTGGCAGCTATTGGATCGTATTACTACACTACGTACACTATCACCGGATTACTGACATTGTTTCATAGATTTATTAAATTTTAGTGTTGATACATATATTTTTATCAAATGTCTCCATGTCAATCATAATGATATTTATATAAATATATGTTTTACGTTTAAATATTTTTTTAACATAAACAATCCAATGCAAAAGTATGTAGAACAACAATGTTTTTTAAATATTATTTTCGCTAATCCTGAGGCGTCTCAGTTCTTTGAGTATGAAGTGTTTCCCGTTCTCAGTAGATACACAGGTTCAGACATAATTCATTTATTTTTTCACAAATTCCTTGTTGATAAACTAAGGAATTACTGAGAAACTAAGGTTCCAACTCCTTCAGGTAAAGTTGACCTCAGCTCAATTTGGGTATTCGGTTTAGGTTCCTTTTCGTCATATATCTCACAAAAGAGAGGCGATACTAAAGGAACATTCAAACTCATAAGTCGAAAATAAACTGACAACGCCATGGTTAAAAAAGCAAAAGACCAGCAGACAAACAACAGTACACAAAACACAACATAGAAAACTGAAGACTGAGCAACACGAACCCCACCAAAAACTGGGGGTGATCCTAACTATACATCCCTAACTTTCAAGTGGTTGTTTGGGTTTGAGCGTTCCTGATGTAGGTTAATCTAGAAATAAAGCGCTTCGGACGAACGACATTTATAAAGTGTTATTTTCATTCCCTGCAATATTGAATATTATTAAACGTTTGTTTACATGGTTTTCCCTGTCAGCTGTTTCCAAAAATATGTTCGGTATATGGTCATTCTTTTCTTCTTCGAAATTCTTATCCAACAAGTGTTTTAAGAAATAAATATAAGAAGTCACAAATGACACTAATAAATTCCATGTTCTAAAACCAAATCTAGGTGAGGCTATATATGCATATGGATTGACTGATGTCTAGTTATAAAACAGACAAAACTTTACCATATGAGCCCCAAGCAAAGCCAGACCAGATGCTTCGATAACTAAATCAATCTGGATTTCATAGATTCTTGTTTAGAGTAACCAGTCAGTTTTCATTTCATAAAACATAAAACTGTAGTCAAAAATGTTGTGTCTTTAAATTCCTCACGGACCATATTTGAAAGGAATGTTCAATGAATTCTCAGACTAGTAAATAAAAAAAATGCGATTCATACATACTATCAAAATATCTGAGGCATATTGTACTTACAATTGCCAATTCTATTCTCCTAAGGTTAATTCGAACAGTTTGTTCTTTTTGCCAATACCAATACGAATGTGTTATCATTATTAAGGAGAACCTTCTAATCGAAGAGTAAAGGTATAACAATCAATTAAAAAAAAATATAAGGAGATGTGGTATGATTCCCAAGGAGACAACTATCCACCAGAGTTCAAAGGAAGTTCATATAAGCAATTAGTTGCCGCCGTTCAGCCTTCAAAAATGAGAAAAACACATACCGTATAGTCGGCTATAAAAAGCCCCGACATGAAAAAATGTGAAACAATTCAAACGAGAAAATTAACGGCCTATTATATAACAAAACAATTTACGAAAAAATAAATATGACAGACATGAAGCAAGACAACCAATAAACTACAGGCTTCCGACTTGAAAGATTGGTACGCGAAACAAAAACAACTAACTTAAAACAATTGACACAAAGCACCGATAGATGAGTACTCGCAGTTACTGAAAGCTAGTTTAAAGCCAATTACAACTAATCAATAAATCATGATCTCCCAGACTGAAGAATCAATCAGTTCACATCCCACAGATTTAGTGTAAAGACGTCATGAACAGTCTGAGGAACGCATGAACTTCAGCAATGCCAAAATATAAGTAAATAATAACATTTACGGGGTACAGAATTTACTGCACCAGATGCGAATTTTGACAGTACAAGTCTCTTAAGTGATGTTCGATGCCAAAATATTTGAAAATCCAAAACGTATTAAAAAATGAAGATCTTATAAACCGAAAAAGGACCAAAAGTATTGCCAAGCCGGACAAGTAATCAGAGCTATGGATGAGGGAGATACATTCTCTAATTTTAAATAATTTCAAAAATTTTGTAACAGTGCATATTTTAACACAATATCCGTATTTTCATACCAGTACCGAAGTGCTCGCTACTGGGCTCGTAATACCCTCGGTGACTAACAGTCCACCAGCAAAGGGATCGACCCAGTGGTAGTAACAACATTAACGGTACCACATTTGCTGCACAAGATGCGCATTTCGACAATAAATATCAGTGGGAATCAGAGGGTTGATTGAGGGAGATATATTCCTTAATTTACAAAACACTCTATAATTTTGTAACAGCATCGACAGGATGTAGGATCATGAGTTCTCATAACTGTACATACACAGCAGTATAATTTATATATGTTTTAATTTTTGAAAAACAAAATCAATGTTAGTACCGATAAAACAATATTAAAAGATTTTACTACTGTGTTTTATTAATAACTTTTAAGAATATATTTCTTCAAAGGATCAATTAGTTTACATGGATCATATCTAAATTAACGGCCCCTGAAAACAACATAACTGTAAATATTAGGATGAGATATTCCGTTTTTTCACAGCCGATCTTTTTAACCAATTCTATGTATTTATGAAAGAATTGAGGACCACTGATCAAGAAAAGGTCCATGAAACGTATTTTATTATCCGGTATGAAAAAAGTTAAATAACTAGAATATCGAACACCATTGAAATTCAAAACGGAAAATGAAAGTATAACAAAAGTAAAAACAAAAACATCAAATGGCACTTTTTAAGTCGAACTGACATCAAACAAAACAAAAATTATTACAGAAGTCAACGGGACAATAACAGAAGTACAATTATCTAGTTCAAAGTACATCAAAAATGTAGGGAAGTGAAACATGCTTGTAACTGTTTTATATTGTAGGTTATCAGATACCTTCAGTTTTGCCTTTTTGTTGTTCTAAACCCTTGTCACAAATATTGAAAGGACCCTACCCATCATATTGTTTTAAGTTTAGATGTCCAAGTTGCTGGTATGAGACTTGATGAGTAATGGCACCGGAAGACTTTCAAGTATTGTAAATTACTTGAAAAATAACGTTCTGGTAATAAGTAATAAAAAAAATCTTACAATATCAACCATAATAACCCTGATTGTCTAAAGGGTGTGGAAAACATGAATATGGAAACTGTTCATCATTATGCCTGTTTCATTACATAAATATGTATAAAAGTTTGTCATATATTAAAGTTTTACCCCAAATTGAAACCTCATTATTTTATTGGTGGTTTTCTTGTGTCTTCGCCCTATTTGGTTTTGTTATTCTTTTGATCAAAAGATATATTCACACATGGTTTAACAAGAAGATGATCGAAGTTAGTCTTTTTTCTGACAAAAAAGTCCGAATATTACAGCATAAAAATAGCATTAATACACGAAACCTAACAGCTAGCAGAATAGTAACCGCATTGCCTTGCACTTGTTAAAGATTTCAGATCATAGTCCTACCAAGATTGCTACGTGTTAACGAAATTTTCGTCTTTGTTGTGTACTATGGAATACAGTCACTAGGTGTGAGAATGTTTAAATATGTTTAGCATAGACAAAGTGCAATAACTCATGAAGAAAATTTCAAACCGAATTGTCGTTTTGGGACATGTAAACAAACAAGTCTAGTAAGTATGTAGGCTTTTTAGCAAACAATGCTAAAGGAGTTGCATTCACAAGATATCAATGTTTAACTACAAACTTTCAGAGTCAAATAACTATGGTAAAAATTCATTTATCCTGCTGAACTGACTTTAAACAAAGCTAATACTAACAATGAACACTGCCTTTTTCTGGATCCTGATATCTATATCTTTAACGGGAAGCTTAATACCAACATTTATGATAAAAGAGATGATTTTTTATTTCCCATTGTTAATTATCCATTTTTAGATGGTGACGTTCCCTTGTCACCATCTTATGGTGTTTATATATCTCAACTTGTTCGATTCTCTCGTGTATGTAACAACGTATTTGATTTTAACGAAAGAAATCTCTGTATTACTGAAAAATTATTACACCAGGGTTTTCGATATCACAAACTTGTCAAACCATTTACTAAATTTTATCATCGTTACAAGGACATCATTTGTAAATATAAATCAACATGCAGACATCTTATACGTTCACATCTAATCTTTTATGGTAATATTCTATACAAAGCACAAACATGTCGGCATTCACCTCAAAAGCTAACCAACCCTTTAAACAGACTTATTCAGAAGGGATATAGTTACGATACTGTTGTCATGTCATTAAAGATGGCATATTTTGGTATTAATATTGATTCACTCATAGGGTCTTTGCATCGGAAATAAACACATTCATTCGAAAACCAGTTGTTGGCATGATACGGGTTATGCTCTTCTCATATATTTTATGATTGTACGATACTAAACTCCTAACTGGAGGGATTGTGCTTGATTTGCATATGATGAAGACATAATCTTTCAATCAGTTTAATTGAGGTCTTGAGCTGACATGTCAGTAACTGCTAGTAGTCCTTTGTTAATTTATGTATCATTGTCATTTTTCTTAGTTTCTTTTTGTTACCTATTCTGACATTGGACTCGAACTTCTTTTAAACTGAGTTTTACTGTGCGTATTGCTATGTGTTTGTTTATTCTACATTGGCTAGAGGTATAGGGGGAGGGTTGAGATCTCACAAAACAACCCAGCCGCATTTGTGCGCCTGTCCCAAGTCAGGAGCGTCTACCCTTTGTTAGTCTGGTATGTTTTTTCATTTTAGTTCATTCATATGTTTTGGAGTTTAGTGTGACGTCCATTTTCACTGAATTAGTACACTTTTTTGTTTAGGGGCCAGCTGAAGCCCGCCTCCGGGTGCGGGATTGTCCCGCTGTGTTGAAGACCTATTAGTGGCCTTTGGCTGTTTTCTGCTCTTTGGTCTGGTTGTTGTCTATTTGACACATTCCCCATTTCCATTCTCAATTTTATATCAAAATAATCGCAAAGTATGGTCAACTGCACACGATGAGAAAAATTCCTACCAAGTACAAAAACTTTCGTTCATGCGATCTCAGAAAAACTTCCTTCTCAAGGTGTCACTGTGCTACAATGGTCCAAATAAATCTCAAT